GAAGCCCAGAGCCAACATGACAGCCCTACATCTGGCTCCATTTAGATTCATGTTCTTCTAGGATGCACATTTCCCTTTCTACTCTATGCTGTATAGCTCTTGTTAGGAAAAATCACCCTGCACCAATATGGGATCTGTCCGATTACACAACAAAGACAAAGCAAGGAACAGGTAGTGCCAGAAATACCAGAAAGGTACAGCAGGACATAATGAAACACTGGAAGCTCTCCCAGGAACTGCTCTTTTCATGTAGATCCCTGGATGGTTTAGGTCTTTCAGCAGAGGCATTACCTACATTGTAATCCTGATCCTCCTGGAAACTCTGCTGGGGCACATTGAAAATAAAGAGGTAACTGGTGACAGCCAACAGGGCTTCACGGAGGGCAAACAGTGCCTGACAAATTTGGTGGCCTTCGATGACGGGGTTACAGCGTTGGTGGATGAGGGAAGAGCAACCGACATCATCTGCCTGGACTTGTGCAAAGCATTTGACATTGTCCCGCATGACACTGTTGTCTTTAAATTGGAGAGACATGGAACTGATGGATAGAGCACTCAGGGGATAAGGAATTGGCTGAGTGGTCGCACTCAAAGAGTTGTGGCCAACGGCTCGATGGCCAAGTGCAGAGCGGTGACACGTGGTGTTCCTCAGGGGTCGGGGCTGGGCCCAGTGCTGTTTCACATCTTCGTTGGGACACGGACAGTGGGATCGATGCCCCCTCAGCAAGTTCACCCGTGACCCCGAGCTGTGTGGTGGGGGACACGCTGAGGGCAGGGGGGGCATCCCGAGGGACCTGGGCAGGCTGGAGAGGGGGGCCCGGGCAAACCTCGTGGGGTTCAACAAGGCCAAGGGCAAGGTCCTGCCCGGGGGTCGGGGCGATCCCCAGCACAAACCCAGGCTGGGCCCTCGAGGGGTGGCTGGAGAGCAGCCCCAAGGAGAGGGACTGGGGGGTTGGTGGGGGGAAAACTGCCCGTGAGGCAGCCCCGTGTGCTCACAGCCCAGAACCCACCCGTGCCCTGGGCTGCAGCCAGAGCAGGGGGGGCAGCAGGGCCAGGGGGGGGATTCTCCCCCTCTGCTCCGCTCTGGGGAGACCCCCCTGCAGTGCTGGGGCCAGCTCGGGGGCCCACAACAGCAGAAGGACCCGGAGCTGCTCGAGCGGGGCCAGAGGAGGCCACGAAGATGCTGGGGGGGCTGGAGCAGCTCCCCTGGGAGGCCGGGCTGAGAGAGTTGGGGGGGTTCAGCCTGGAGAAGAGAAGGCTCCGGGGAGCCCTTCGAGCGGCCTCCCAGGGCTTAAAGGGGGGACAGGAGAGGTGGGGGGGACTCTGGGTCAGGGGGTGGGGATGGGACGAGGGATGATGGTTTTACACTGAAAGAGGGGAGATTCAGGTTAGATACAAGGAAGAAATTTTTTATGATGAGGGTGGTGAGACACTGGCACGGGTGGTCAGGTTGGACGGGGCTGGGAGCAACCTGATCTAGTGGAAGGTGTCCCTACCTGTGACAGGGGGGTTGGGACTGGATGATCTTTAAGGTCCTTTCCAACCCAAACCATTCTATGATTATCAAGAGAGCACTGTCCGTCAGGCAGCATCATTTAATAGACTACAGGACTAATTACCAACTCAGAAGGGCAGGAAATAAATGCCACACATATTTGAGAAGGAAGCTGTGGATGGGAGAAGGGAGCAAAGATGTGGCAGAAGAGCCACTACACCAAATGAAGTCTTCTGCTAGAGACCCTCAAGGGTGAAGAGGTCCACTACTCATTTAGGATTTAAGAAAAGGTCCTCACATTTCCAGATGACAAATCTGGAGCCCACTTTTAAAACCTTTTCTATTCAGGTTTGTCAGTCACACTTTAGAAGAGCACACGAAGTTTTCATGTACCTTATACTCACGAGCCATGCTGGGATAAAAGCAATTTGAACAGCTTAGAAAGCAACTATTAGCAGTCATTTTTCAGAAGTGGCTTTCTAGAACGCATGGATATGCTTCAAGCCATCATGTTATTTGCTGCAAAAAGCCCGTGCCACATTCAGAACTGCATTAAGATTTTCTATGATGGAAAGAAAATTTTAGCCTACAGTACTAGAGGAACAAGGAAAGCTGCAAGGACAGCATTTCTGCCCTAAGCTTCGGCATAAAAGTGTAATTTATTAAAGGAAAAGAAACTGCTGGATTCTATACTTTGTACAAGCCAGTGACTTACACAGACAATTTGAACTCTGCATGTCATCGCTGCAGTGGGAGCTATGTGGTGCTGAGAACAGAAGGGCTGCAAACAAGCTACATGTGTGCTCTAGATGACCTTCTGTCCATTTATGGGCTCCACCATCTCTGAAATCCTTCACTTCTACCTCTTTACAGATCAGAGACTGCCATGGCAAATTTCTTCCCTACTAATTCCTACCCCCGTGTTATCCAGAGCTCAAGCTGCCTGGGGACTGGTGGGTTAGGACACCCGTGCTCACTGGAACAGGCAGACCTGGGAGAGGACAGGATCGCATCTCATTCACAAGCTTGTGAACACTCCTGGTTCAGCTGGGAAGAAGTCTTGCTCTGGAGTTATCTGCAATGCCAACACCAGTGGTATCAGGCACCGCACACTGAGTGTTGGCCTCCGAGAGCAGCGGCGCGGAGATCAGGCTGGCCCAGAGGAAGGGACTGAGACGTCACTCAGCCCTGGCTGTCCAGATAAGCTGGGCTGGGGCAGCAGAAATGGGAACCAGACAAAGAAAAACAAACCTCTTCCTGCAGCCAGCTGGAAGCTTCCCCGGGTCCTAGAGCTCTCCTTGGCGCTTCCACTCCCCAGCTCTTTCCTCCCCACAGCAGAGCTGGGCTCTGCTTTGCTAAGCCAGCTCTCGTCTAGCACCGACTGTTTATTCAACCTGAAACCTCAGCTGCACACTGCATCGCCCGGGAGGTAACTCGTGCTCCCAGCAGCCCTCGCCCAACAGACAGCAAGGCAGCTTTTAGAGCAAGAGCCAGCTTTTTTGGGGAGCTCTGCGAGAGAAGAGGTGGTTTTCAGCCACTCAGAGACTCATAGGGCCAGGGAAGCCTGCTACAGGGTCTGATGAGTCTGAAATAAAACAGTCACAGCACAGTGGGGAGAAGCAAGCTGATGGATGGAAAGATGCTGTACCAAAAGGAAGACAGCAAAACCAACATTAGAAGGGACAAAGTAATTTGAGCAGGAAATAATCCCCTCTGCACCCAGCCACCACCCTCCCCAAGTTCACAAGGAGAAAGGCCACCCTTTTGGTGTCAGTTCTGAAAATACAGCTGGGCCAACTCTGATCCCCAGCTGCCTTTTACTCCCGCCTATCTCAACCAGCACTAAACAGCCTCCAAGCCAAACCACCAAAAGGTCAAACCCACCACCTTCCATGCAACTAGCCAGAGCCTAAATCAACAGCACTATGAATATTCAAGAGCCTTTAGCTGCATTGGCTTCATAGGCCACTGGAAGTAAAGTTTGTTTTTGCTTTAAGCCAGCAACCTTGATTTCTGATACATACAGGAAGAACATCAGGAGAGAGAAAAATAATCTTGAGTAGACTAGCACCAAAGCAATTAACAACAAGGAGACTGGGTTTTATATGCTTTCTGAGAGTTGTCTGTAACCAGCCCACATTTAAGATTGCCAACATGACAGTACCCTGATCTGCATCGGTTTGTGGCACTTGAGAAGCAGGGAGGGAAAAATGACTGGCACCAAATAAACATACTGTGAATCTCGTAAACAGTCTCTAACCTAAGAGGTTTATAGCAAGTTTCAGAGCTGACTCAAGAGGAAGGAGAAAAGGGTTTGCATAGCTGCAGCAATACTGCATTGTTACTCAGCTGCAGGCACATTTCTGTGGTTCAGTTAAGGTTTCAACAGAAAAAAAGAAAGGAAAAGGACAGCGTAAAAACAGCATCGCTCTTTCCCAAAAGGCACAGTTCACATTTGAAACTACACAGATTATTTCTCACACCAGAGAGAGAGACATGTTAAATAGAAGGCACTCTTAGCCTAAGAGTCTATTTTAAGAAAGCAGCCAATACTTATCAACTCCAAATCAGGATGTTGATATTGGAAGGGACCCATCTTGTCCAACCCATATAGTCAAGTTTCCACATCAGTTCTCTTCAGGCAGTTTTCTCCATTCTTTAGAGTCCTCCAGTGGCTTGAGCCACAAGCACGCCCTTCTGATGGAGAAACGCCATGTCACTGAGTTACCAGCACTTATTTCATAAGCCAGGATAGAGATGTTGGAACTTCACGCATCTGCTCCGGTTTTTCAAGCAGTATTGGCTACTTTATTTATAGCTTAAGTGATTGGAATAAAGCTAGGTACCAGAAGACATCCGAGTTAGATCGATGTTGCCCAAGGACAAAGATAGGATGGATACAGTCTTAAGAACATTTCCTTATCAAACTTCCTATTTGCTCTTGAAGGTTAAACAAGCCTAACCAGTCTAGCCAGCTACAATTTTTCTGCTGATGGTCCCTGCTTCTACGTTCTTCCACATATGCATCACCTAGCCAAGAGGACACAGGCTTTAGCTCCTCTCTCCACTCCCATCCACTTTTGGGCAAGAGGTCCCAAAAGCTAGGTTCACCCCAAGACCATGAACATGCAACTGTGGTCTTTGCCCTCCATACCAAATGAGTCATTTTATATAAACAGGCTCCAGCACTCACTGTAGTATCCTGCACCTTTCCCACAAATGGCTGTATTATTAAAAAAAGCACGTGGTGGAGAGACTCAGTTCATCAACACACAAACGTGTGACCGAACCACATTTCCAACTCCTAGCTCTTCAGCCAAAAGACCAAACTTCCTATCTACTTGGCACATGATATCTTGAAGTCTAAGGTAAAAGCGTCCTGCAGACTTAAAGATCTTATGATTGCACTGAGGATCAGTGCAACTTCACCTGCAACAGTGCTGCAAGCAATAACATCTCTCCAGCATAAACAGTAAAAGGATTTTGACTGAAAGTTATTGGTTACCTATAGATGGGGATTTGAAAGGGTATTTATCAGGAAGGTCGACTCTAACTTTCCATACTCCACCTTCATATGGTGCTGCAATGAAAGAAATGCAGGTATTAGACACTTTGTATCTCAGGAGAGAATAAATAGAACTACAGCATTAAGCAAAACACATCTTTGGAATAATACTTAGCTCCATCAGGGGGTAAGATTTCATATCAAACCTCCTACGGTAAAAGCCTTTTTCCTGTGCTGCCTGACAAGAAATACATGATTTTAACTGATACTCCAGAAGATCTCAGCACAAAGACATGAGAGCCTTATTAAAAACAGAGACTTTAGAATACGCTACTTACCTTTAGAGACGTTACTAAATTAAGGCACGCTGGAGACCTCACTTGTGATCTAGTCACTAGAAAAGCCATCTTAATTACAAACTCTGCAAAAATTCAAGTGACTCTTGTAAAACTTATGAGCCAGGTCTAGAAAAGCTAAGGATCAACAAGAGCGGTGCTGAGGGCCGTGGCAGAGGGCTTAGCTGTCTAAAGGCAGTATCCAGCTCTGCTCAGCTCCAAGGGAGATGGCTCATCCCCATTAATGCTCACAGTTGTATTTCTCCCCACCCTTCAGAGAGTGGCCTTCAAACACTGCTACCCTTTGATTTCTCACCCCCTTTTAGATTTGCTCATCTCTTCTTCCGCTCCAGAAGAATGTGTCATTTCACTGTTCCCCACCATGAGCCATTAGTTTGTTTTTTATAGAAGGGCTGGGTCGTATACTTACTTCCTTGTGGTCCATAAAACTTCACAACAAATTCATTGAGTCCTCCTAAGATTGTGACTTCGTGTTTGCTCTCAATACTGTTACATCAAGTAAAGGAAAACATTTAATCCAGGAAACAGTCCATTTCCTCAAATACAGGTAACTTTGTAGAAGCCTGTCAAACCCGATAGTTTAAAATATTCAAAATATTCTACAACATGCAATTTAAGTGTCTTGACACATCTAAGTGACCACACCACCACAATGACGTTAGTAAAAGCCAATTCTACACACTGAAAATCCCTCCCCATGCATTAAGCAATCTTGAGATGATGCCTCCCTTCCCCTCAGAGCTGCTTAGTGTTTTCCATCTATTTCTGCACAGCGTAAACTCAGATTTAAGAAAACACCAAGTGCCTATCAGCAGCGTATTTGGAAATGTATGCAGGCTGTGGAGGGGAGCTAAAAATCCAGAAACAGCAACAGCTCCAAAGCCTCATCGCACACAGACACGAACTCCAGGAGCAAGGCTCAGAGGTGAGGCCAGGACTTGGAGATCTCTCTCTCCTTTCCAGCGCTCAGGAGACGAGCCACAAAATAGAAAGTCACCCCTGCCAACTGCTCGCATTAAATGTTTACTCCCCTGCCCAGATGAGAGGAGCAGAGCTCTCTCCAGTCCCTGCTCTGACAAATGTGAGAGCTGATGAATTCAATTCTCCTTGGCTGCCTTCGGCACTGTCAGATGGCCTCCCACAGCTATGATGCAAATTATGGCAATCTCATGTTAATTTGACTTGCAAGACCAAAAAACTCTGCGTCTTCGGAGAGATGGCAGAAGGGCGAGATTATGAGGTACTGTTGCAGTGTGAAAAGAACAACTGTATTTCTCAACATTTAGAGGAAAGAATCAAAGTGCCAGTGCTCTGGGAAGAAGGGAATACAAACGGAAAGTCAAGAAATCTTCATTTCAAGTAAGGCTCAGTTAAGACAATTAACAGTGATGCTTCAGCACCTAAGCTCGCTGAAGAATTCTGCTATATATCAGGGTTAATGGATTGTGAATAATACCCTACAGCAATTACCTTTAATCAATAATCTGAATATGAATTACGAGGGAAGCATCAGAAAAAAACAGAGCAGGAGAAAAATCAAAGGTTCATTCCCACCTGAAGTTCAGAGTGCTTCAGCTCTGCACCACAGAGGCTGCCCCCATTTGAGGGAAGGGGGCAACGCACAGAATATCTAATAAAAGATCCTTAACATCGCAACAGCGAACTTGGCAGAAACACTCAGGCCTTCAAGAGGAACTGAAGCCAGGTTCCCTTTTACAACCAAGATTTTTCACTCTGATGCAAAAGGTTTTCTGCTTTTAAGGCACAAAATTTTGCCCAAGCTCTCCACTTTGCAGCTATTACGCACACCTCCTCACCCCTTCGTGGCACTAAGCAAACAAACACCCGTGTGCCCAGGCACACACATACATGCTCACTTCAATATTCCTAACCCACCAGGAACATAACTGCCTGGGACCTACCACCAGGAACAAATAATTCTCAGCTCAGACCTATCCCTGATCTCACATTACGATCGATGAACTCTGCTTAAGGTGCGTCATAAATTACTTTAAGAGAAGAGGCTCCTGTATTCAGAAGTGCCAATTCCGTCACCGGCAGTCTGTGTGCATACTCATATGAAGGAGATCCAAGTCCCACCTTCAGGGTCCATCAGGGTTTATTACAGTTCCTCAAGTACACTGACTCCCAGATTGGACAGTTTTCCCACAGTGCCAGCTCCAAAAGAATTTGGACGCAATAACCCTCTTCCCCTCATTCTCATGGGGAGGGAGAAAAGTTTATAGCGGTTTGTTTTGGCTCAAGAGTTTTCTTGGTTCAGCATAAGCTGCTCTGCCCTACAGTTAAACGGCAAGTAGCTCGCTGCACCTGGCAGTCACCCAAGAGCAGCTCACAAAGAGCAAATCGATGCCTAACTGCCCCCTGTGCAAGGGATTTCTCTGCTAAGAGCCATCTCTGAGAAAAACGACCTCCCTACAGGTTTGTGGAGAGTAGCTTAGCACCGAAGTATTGCAGCTTGCTTCAGACCTGATGTTGAGGGACGCTTGTCACCAGATCTTTTCACGTCACTACCATGACAGTAAGTTCTAAATACAGGCTTGTCTGAGCTTAAGTTCCTTTGAAAGTGTACACACTCACCTAATGGATAACTATTCCAGGTTTAGAAATGGGCTCTTACACAAACCTGCTGTGTATGATGATGCCCGAGAGTGAAACGTTTAATACTGAAGTATGTTAACACTTGCAGCAGCTTCGCGGATCAGGTTAAATACAATACAGGTTTTACTTGGGACTAAATCCAGTATCACTTAATAAAAAACAGCTCTCCCAGCCTGATCTTCAGAGCAAGCTCCTGAGCAGCTGTAGCTTATATGCTCTTTGGCTCTGCAAGTTAATATCGACCATAAATTAAAGCAGAGTTTTCTGCACTCAGATTCAATCCTGGTGTTCCCAAGTTCAAAAAACTATTAGTAAGCAATGTGATGCCTTATTTGATTACTGTTCCTGTTGTGGCAAGGACCTAAAATTCCTACCAAAAAAACCCAGCAAGTGAATTAGGTTCATGAAAGGTATAGGTATTGGGATGCAGATGCTAGGTTTGGGAACAATCACACTGTTTATTATTAACATGATACAAGAGTTTGGGGAGAGACTGAAAACAAAGTGAATTTCAGCAACAAAGGGGAAATCTCTGGAAATCTATTACCAGATCTGAGGAAGCTGGGGAACCCTCTTTCCTAGGCATGAGGTGAATACCAGGTGAGCCCCCACTTTATAACACAAGTGGGGTGAACCATCTTCCTTTTCCCATCTCCACCAAATTTTCTGTAAAGGTAGAGATGCCCAGGAATTTGAAATCTCAAAATCCCACTAGCAAAATAATTGAGAGCATCAGCAGGAAAAGTGCATGGAGCAATTACAGAAAGAAGAACTTTTATACCCTATGAGCTCTTTCCATCTCCAGGAAGTCTTCAGAAAAGGAAATATTTATTGCACATCTGGGACTCCAGGAAGGCCAGAACCCAAAGCAGACCTCAAGGCTTCTCCATCCCACAAAGCCGAACCAGGGAACCCTCTAGTAGCACAAGGGAAAAACATGGGGGAACAGCAGAGGGGACCTGACATGTTGGGAGGACTGTCTGGACCGCATTCCTGGAGAAAGCTCCACCACAGCTCATGGCAGTGTATCTCAGAGTAAAGAACGCAGGCTCTGACCCAACTATTTTCTCAGCTTGGAGGGATTTTTTCCATAAGGCAGACGTCTAAAAACCAAATCCCAAATGAATCCCACTCCAAACACACCAGCAATTAATCAGCCATCTCAGATCCAAAAAAAGAGTTGCCAGTTTGGAGACCCACAAGGCTTAAAGGAACCCAGTCATACCTGGGGCACAATAAACCTCCTCTCCTGCATTCAGAGCTAGGTGGGGCCTGATCCCGCAGCAAGCCCAGGTAGCTCCCAGGAAGCAGAAATGCTCCAGGTCTTCAGCAAACTGAGTACAGCTTCAGGAAGCCCCAGGGAAAGAGCATCAGGAATTCAGAGCAAGATTTCCACAATTAAGGTGACAAGAGTGTTCACAGCAACCCCCGTGCATTTCTCCCAGGATAGTTACACTTGCGCCCAGGATTCCCACCCTCCTTGTTCATCAGCTCCTGACATAAATCTGTGCAGAAAACACTCCTGCGAGCACTCAGGACTTCAAACATGCAGCCAGCATTTAAGGGGAAGACCACAAACTCTTCACCTTGTTTTAGTCTACTCTGTCCAAACTCCTTTAAGCCCACGCTCTCTGACACTGCACTCTTCATTATTTAGATTTGCAGAAAGAGAACAAGCAGGTAATGCTTAAAGACTTTAACATTCTCACTTCTAGTGGCAATTCAGTGGTTCATACCGGTGTGAGCAGTCTGCCTTGTTTCCACAGCAGGGCACACGGCTGCACTGTGTGTATATGGGGTCAAGATTACAGAGCTACAAAACCAGCCTGTAACACATCACATGTGCTAAAACGTTTAACAAAAATACAACCAAATCCCTTTCAAGACTCTCAGCTTGCTCCTACTAGTCTAGGTGACTTATGGCCTTGCTGCTTTTACCTCCTTATCATCTCAGTATACTAATTTGACTTTGTGTCAAATATAGCCGGTGTAAAAGTCAAGAGAAAAGAGCAAAATCTGGATACAAGTCAGGTTTTTAACAGATAAGAAGTTCAAAAGCTTTACCTTAAGACCACAGGAACTAGAAGGGAGTCCTGAAGACCTGGAGATAAATTCTCTTAGTCCCAAAACTATTAAGAGAATTTTAATGACAGTAAATTTGAAAATATTTAAACGATAATATAGAAAGCGAGCTTATTTTCAAATATCAGTTCAGAAGGGGTTGCTAGGAGAGACACAGAAGGGAATTTTTCTGCGGCTGATTACAGACTCCCTATATAGTGCCTGAAATGTGCCAGAAGCGCAAAGGCCAACCGCGCCACGTATTAGCATTACAGTAACATCCACAGCCCCCTATCAAGATCAAGGCTCTATTGTTCAGGGTTGAGCTTGTAGGAAATTGTTTCTTTGGTCAGAACGAAAAGTGATTTAAAGCATTTTGCCCATTCTGCACTGGGACAAAAAACACACAAAACCTTTCAAATCTGGAGAGAAAGAGAGACTGCCCAACCATCAGTCAGAAATAGACTGGCCACTGCGGATTTGCCTCTTCCAGGGTCAAGTTCCCATTCCCTCATCCTTGTGTGGGGCCACCCACCACCGTAGGGCTGGATCTCCCCTGCAGTAATAAAAAAAAATTGTTAGGATCCGACTTCACACTCAGATCTCCCAAAATCCCAGATGAACATCACGGCCAACAGATGGCTAGTCTGTTTGCAGGGTTGAGTGGCTTTTTCCTGGCAAACGTTTAGCCTGAAAAAAACCCTTCATTAAGTTTATTTAAAATTAACATAAGTTATAAGCTTAGGAAAATCAGTTTTCTAGATAAAACTATTTCACTGAAAATATTTTTGCAAGCCCAGCAACAC